AGGTAAACAATTACCGATAGTTCATTCTCATCAACCTCAACTTGATTAGTGAGATGACTGTAAAAGGCTTAAAGTTGAAAATATTCGAACTAAATTGTGGATCACTAATTTCATCCACACTCGTCCTATGAGAAAATGTCAGTTTCAATTTATGTTTGTTGGTCTTAATTTTCATATTGTTTGGTCCAACCACAAAATTTTTCATAACATACAATCCCATTTCATGTATTTTTGTTTTGAAAATACGCATAACAGCTCTTCCAATAGTTGCATGAATTCGATCGCCCTAAAATAAAAAATGTGAAAAGAAGTTAGTAAGGTGCATAAGTTCTTAAAAATACATCGCAACTCGAAAAAAATAACAACATGTAAAAGAGAATGCACATTTTCATCTTGAATAATTAATTCGATTGAATTAGAATTTTCTGGTTTGTCGCGGTCTGGAATGTGCCACAATTTAACAACACGAACTTTCAAATTCCAACTCATTTTGGACATTGCTATTTCGCTGATATAGTTATAGTTTGGAGCCATACTTTGGCGAAGTTTGTGTGAGAGCTAAACCCTAAGCAATGTAGAGAAGCCAAACCTAAGTAAAAGTTGCTTAAATAAAGATTTGTAAGAAAAAACTATAGTAGTAAATCAATTTATAAGGATCTTTGGCAGAAATTTGAACGTATGATCTTTCTTGGAAGATACAAAATATTTATTTAGATAAAAAATATTTATATTTTTTTTATTAATCCTTTCTTAAAAAAGAATACCTACCATAGCTAAATGATACCTATATTAATGTATATTGTTCGCAAATAATGTCAGATACAAAGCTTGTACTAAATGTAGAATTATTATTTCAACTTAACATTAATATGTAAGGTACTTAGAATTATATTAATTGATTCTTTCTCAAAAAAGAATACCTACCATAATTGAATTAAAAATACTTACAAAATATTTTTGTGATTTGGACGTCCAACAGGTTCTCAAAAGAGAACAATTTTTGTTTAAATTTTAAAATATTTGGCTTTGATTATTTTATGAACTTTTTTAGTCTATTTTCTTTAATATAATATAGATGTAAGATACAAAATATTTATATTTAATTAATTCTTTCTTAAAAAAGAATACCTACATAGCTAAATGATACCTATATTAATGTATATTGTTCGCAAATAAGGTCAGATACAAAGCTTGTACTAAATGTAGAATTTTTTTTTTGGTAATTAACTTTTCATTTATCATGGAAATATTTACATGTAAATCAACAACCCTTACATATATCCTAAATCTTTCTGTACTACTCCTCCCCTTAACTACCTTACTATAGCTATATTGTTTGAAACTAGTTACATGGGATACCAATCCAACCTACTTAGTGCATTTTCCACATGTTTGTTGCTTTGACATTGTAGTTCTTGTATAATCAACTTGCCCAGTTTTTCCCATTGTCTGGCTTTCCCTTTGAAGATTCTGGCATTTCTTTCCTGCCATACATAGTATATACATGCTGCCAATGCCATCTTGAATAGCTCAGTACTTGCATTGTGTCTCTTCACCCATTTTTCAGCCCATGCTAGCTCCTCAGTCCATCCATAAACTGTTCTTTTTATCCCTTGCCAATGTAACAGATTGCCCCACAATTCAGTTGCATAAGAACACTCAAAGAATATGTGCTGAATAGTTTCATTTTCTTTTCTACACAGTACACACTCCTGGTCAATTTGCATTCCCCATTTACATAGTCTGTCTTTGCTATATAACTTGCCATGTGCTGCTATTATTAGTATGAATGTCCACCTAGGGCAGCCAGCATTGCTGCATACTACTTTCCTCCAACTCACCTTGTTGAAGTTTCCTCTTAGTTTGTGGTATATTTGCTTTATTGAGCATTGGTTCATCCTTCTGATGTCTTCATAGTTAAGACCTGCTTCTTCAAATGTCTTCTTTGCTTTCATAATTTTGCTCAGCATCCATGATGTTTGTTGTAGTTGGACTTCCCATATGCTTCTATCTCTGATGTAGTAACTATGAACCCATTGAATCCATAGTTTGTTCTTCTCTTTGCATAGATTCCAGAACTGTTTGCATACAACAGCTTTATTCCACAATGTGATATTGATAATATTGAAACCCCCTGCTGACTTTGGCATACATACTTTCTCCCATGCAAGCAAAGCTTTCTCGGATATGTTTCCCTCTCCTGTCCACAGGAAGCTTCTGCATATTGCCTCAATTAGCTTAATGATCTTCTTTGGGAGCACAAATATTTGTGCCCAGTATGTTTGGATTGAGAAAAGGACACTTTTGATCAACTGAATCCTCCCAACATAAGAAATTTAGCTGTCCATGAAGTTATTCTCCCAGCTATTTTATCAATTAAAGGCTGACATTGGCCTGCTGATATTCTCTTAGATCATAGAGGAACTCCAAGGTATCTAACTGGCAACTCTCCTCTTTGGATTCCCAGAAATTCTAGGATGACTTCCTGCATAGCTTGTGGTACTCCTCCAAAGAATATTGAACTCTTCTGCTTATTGATCACCAATCCTGAGGCTTTAGAAAACTCCGTAAAGCAGTTGTATAGAAGTTTGATAGATCCTATATCTCCCCTGCAAAAGAGCAGTAGGTCATCTGCAAATCCCAGCTGTACTATTTGCAGCTTCTCACATTTGGGGTGGTAATTGAAATCAGGAATCTGGTTCAGTGTCTTGAGGCTCCTTGTCAGGTACTCCATTGCTATCACAAATAGAAAGGGTGATAGTGGATCCCCTTGCCTCAGCCCCTTCCTAGCTTCAAAAGATTGAGTAAGTGACCCATTAACTAGGATAGAATATGTAACACTTTGCATGCAACACATGATCCATTTCACAAACTGTTCTGGAAAAGCCATTGCATTCATCACCTGTTCCATAAAGCCCCATTCGATAGAGTCATATGCCTTTTGCATATCCAGTTTCATCATGCACCTTGGTGACACCCCTCTCCTTCTATATCCTTTAACAAGTTCATGGCTGAGGATGATGTTGTCTGTGATCACTCTTCCAGGAACAAAATCAGATTGAGATTTATCAATCAATACATCCATCACCTTTTGTAGTCTCTTGGTGAGTATTTTAGAGATTATTTTATACAAAGTAGTGCAACATGAGATAGGTCTGAAATCTTTAATGCTGGCAGGATTCCTTACTTTAGGGATCAAAGTAATTGTTGTGCAGTTAATAGGCTTGTATATTTGAGTTGATTTAAAAAAACTCTAGGACAACTTTGGTCACATCCTCTCCTATGACTTCCCATGCTTTTTTGAAGAATACTGCATTAAACCCATCATATCCAGGTGCTTTTAAATCACTGATGTCCTTCAATGCTAACCACACTTCCTCCTTAGTCACTGGTTGAGTAAGTTGTAACTGCTGCACCCTGCTAAGTGTTGTTCCCATCTTCATGACATTTGGGTTAATAGCAGGCATACATTCTGCTCTAGAACCCAACTGCTTCTTATAATACCCTGTTATCTCATCCTCTATGTCTTCTTCTAACCATAATTGGACCCCCATTTCATTAGTTAGAGCCTGGATTCCATTCAAGTTACTCCTGTTCTTCATGTGGGCAAAGAAAAATGCAGAGTTGGAGTCTCCCGGCTTCAGCCATTGTACTCTAGATCTTTGCTTATAGATACTCTCTTCAATCAATGACCATTTTTCCAGTTCACCTTTAAGAGCTTTCTCCTTCTCAATTAGATCTGTTTGGTTTATTCTGCTACTCATCTCTTCTTGGATATCTTGTAACTCTTCCCTTGCCTTTTTGATTATGTTCTCCACACCTTGATAATGTTGTATGTTTATCCCTTTCATAAGCTCCTTAACCTTTTTAAGTTTGTTCTACACCTGCTGCATCATTCCTTGAGTTCCCACCTTACTCCATACTTGTTTTACAGCTTGTATAAAGTGAGGGTGATCTGCTATATAGTTGTAGAAACGAAATGGCCAATTCTTCTTCCTTTGTAGCTGTGTGGTCATTAGTTTGAGTGGGGAATGGTCAGACACTGATGGTTCTAGCACATGCATCTTCAAGCTTGGCATTGTTAACATCCAGCTAGCATTAACCAGCCCTCTATCTATTCTACTACATGTATGATTGTTGGTCCAGGCATATCCTCTTCCAACAGTTTGTAGCTCATTCATGCCAGTATCCTTCAGGAATTCTTTGAAATCTTTTATCTCCGTATCTTGTACCATTGAGCCAAATTGTCTGTCTTGTTCATGTAAAACAGCATTGTAGTCCCCCATAGCTAGCCAAGGCCCCTGATGTGTACTATGTATCAACCTCAATTTTGCTCCACAAACTCAGCCTATCATTGATGGTGTGCAATCCATAGATGGTTGTAAAACCAATTGTGAACAATTTAGAAACTGCACTGATTTGCCCATGAATTAACTGTTCATCTATTTCAATTGGAGTGAAAATATAAATCCTAGGGTCCCAAATCACCCAAATTCTGCTTTTGTTCATACTACTAAAATTTGTTATCCATTTCCACCCAGGTGCAATCCTCCCCATTATTTCACCTGTTTTCTGCTCCTTTATTCTGTGCTCTACTAAAGCTATTACTGCTTTTTTATTATCCTTTATGAAGTCCTTTATCTCCTTTTGCTTATATGCTTTATTCATTCCCCTAACATTCCATGTGATCACACTCATACTGGAATGAATTGAGTGCCTTGAAACCATTCCTGCACCCCCCCCCCACTCCTCATCTGCACACTACTTGTTCCAGGTTCACTAGTTGTTGGGTCATTTCTCAGACACTGGAATCCATTATTTTCTATCAAGCTAGGATCCTCATTTTGCTTAGCTTTGGCTGCCCTTGCTGCTGACTTCCCTATCACTGTTACCCACCCATCTTCCTTTCCTTGATTCACATTTTCCATTGCCTTTGCCCCTTGTTCTTGAATTTTGTCTACTTCTTTCTCTCCATTTTGTTCAGCCTCCTGTGTAGTGTCTTTTGATCCAACTCTGTCAGTTCTAAGCCAAACTTGTTTGACTTTATTGTGACGACCCAAAGGGTCATCACTTATTTTCTTACTCATTCTGTGCTTCTGAGGCCTTGAAAACCTCTTTCAAGGTTGTCTCTATTTGCGTGCACAGTCCGGGCGTGTAGCCGGAAAGCTTAAATATGAATTCTATGAGAAAAATACTAAATTCTGATATTAAATTGAATAAATTTGACTTCGGTCAATATTTTAGGTAAACGGACCCGGACCCGTTATTTGACGGTCCCAGAGGGTCCGTAGGAAAATATGGGACTTGGGCGTATGCCCGGAATCGAATTCCGAGGTCCCAGGCCCGAGAAATGAATTTTTGTGTGAAATTGTTTTCTGGAAATAATTAAGGAAATTGGAAATGAAATTTGATTAAAATACTATGGTATCGGACCCGTATTTTGGTTCCGGTGCCCGGTACAAGTCTTATATATGGTTTAAGCGCTTTCTGTAAAGTTTGGCTGAAAACGGACGTCGTTTGACGTGTTTTGGACTTAAAATGGGAGATTTGATGTTTTATGAAAATTTGGAAGGAATCATGGATTTTGAAGCTTAATTCAATGTATATGATGTTATTTTGGTGATTTGATCGCGCAAGTAAGTCCGTAGGATGTTTTTGAGGTTGTGTGCATGTTCGGTTTGGAGCCCCGAGGGCTCGGGTGAGTTTTAGATAGGTGTCGGAGTGCATTTTCATCCTTGGGAATTTTGCTGCTATAACTGACCTGCAGGCTTCGCAATTGCGAAGCCTGGCTCGCAAATGCGAGCTCCCAATTGCGAAGGTCTGCTCGCAAATGCGAGAAATTGCCAGGCCTGAAACACATCGCAAATGCGAAGTTGAGCCTCGCAAATCCGAAGGCTGGGGTTTCGCAAATTCGACCTCATGGTTCGCAAATGCGAAGTCCCCAATTCTCCTCATAGTTCGCAAATGCGAACAAGTGATCGCAATTCCCACTTTTTTGTCGGGGTTCGCAATTGCGAACCCCAGTTCGCAATTCCCATATCTGCAGCCCAGCAATTTTCATACTTAGTCGAATTTTAGGCCATTTTTCACCCCACTTTCAAAATACAACTCCTTAGGCGATTTTTCAGAACAAGTTTCATTCCAAATCATTTGTAAGTCAATTTTTACTCAATTCTTTCATTCATTAACATCATTTAACATGTTTTCCACTTAAAATCAAGGATTTTCATGGGTGAAATTGGGGGTTTTGGGTAGAACCTAGGTTTTTCAAAAATTGGGGATTTTGGACCTCAATTTGAGGTCCGATTTCAAAACAAATTACATATTTGAGTTCGTGGGGGAATGGGTAACCGGGTTTTGGTTCGAACCTCGGGTTTTGACCACGTGGGCCCGGGGGCGATTTTGGAATTTTTGGGAAAACTTTGGGAAATTCATTTTTATGCATTCAAATTGATTCATTTAGTGTTTATTAAAGCAATTAAGTAACTTGTGACTAGATTCGAGCGGATTGGAGGTGGAATCACGGGGTAAAGCTATAGTTGAGGCTTGAGTTGAGTTCAAAGCATCGAGGTAAGTGTTTGGTTTAACCCTAGCTTGACGGAATAGGAGATGAGTCTTATCTGTAACTTGCTAATTGTCGAGTACGATGTATAGGCATGGTGACGAGTATCTATAAATTGGTGTCTAGCATGACCGTGAGTCCTTATTTTGCGAGTAGTTTGGTTGTTGTTATGCCTTCCGTGCTTAAATGATGACTTCTATATGTTGTAATGATCTTGTGAAAGAGATTGTGATCTTTGAACTTCGTGGAGCATTGGCTCGGGTTGAAATACAAATTGTGAAGGTATATGAGATAAGTAACTCCTTGGAGCATTGGGTCAAGTGATAATGTGAACTTTGAGACGAAAGTGAAAGAAAGAGAAGAGTTAATGATTTATTCCCTTGCCGGAACGTTGTTGGTTATTGATGTTGTACCCTTGCCGGGTTTTTATTTGTTTGTTTGTGTACCCTTGCCGGGACTCCCATTCTTGTTTTATTATTCCCTTGCCCTTGTTTGTGACTGTTGATTGGGTGAGGAAGAGTGTTAAAGCACGAAGGGTGATGCCGTGCATTAAATGATATTTGTGGATCGGGTTGCGCGCCGCAACAATGCTAAATGATATGGATCGGGTTGCACGCCGCAACAATGATATTTGTGGATCGGGTTGCACGCCGCAACAATGCTAAACGATATGGATCGGGTTGTAAGCCGCAACAGTGTTGTTATATATTGGGATCGGGTTGCGTGCCGCAACAATTATTGATACAAGTGTGTTTATTTCGGATATTAGTCTCTTGTCCGCTGTAAATTCTAAGCTGCCTTTAGACTGTTACTCTGGATTTACTGTTAATACTGTTATCTCCCCACAACATACTTTCCCTCCCATATTGTTTACTTGTCTTGTATTTCGATTCCGCTGTATGTATATAACTACACAGGTTTATGTGGTAGTCCAGTCTAGCCTCGTCACTACTTCGCCGGGGTTAGGCTAGACACTTACCAGCACATGGGGTCGGTTGTGCTGATACTACACTCTGTTCTATTTTGCACAGATCCAGGTTTCGAGCAGCAGGAGCAGTAGTGTGGGAGCAGGCTTCATTTCAGCGAGACCCGAGGTAGCCTTGCAGGCGTCCGCAGGCCCGACGTCTCCTCTATCCTTATTTTATCTGTTATCTCATTGTATTCGAGACAAACAACTTATGTTCTCATTCAGACGTTTGTATGTAGTAATCTTAGCAGTTCGTGACTACAAAGACACCAGTCTTGGGTAGAGGATTTTGCTGAACTTTCCACATTTCTATTCAGTTTCTATAAAATGTTAAGACTTTCGCTTATTATTGAATTTCGTTGCTTTTGTATTATTGTCGTAAATTGTTAAAATGGATTGGATTATTAATGGACAAGTAATTAAATTTGGCTTGCCTAGCTCTCATTAGTAGGCGCCATCACGACTCCCGAGGATGGAAAATCCGGGTCGTGACATTTATTTACCTTCCTCTGATATGTCATCTTCTGGTGCTGTGGGGCTCTGACTTCATTATAATCATGTCCAATCTTCAGGCATTTAGCACAAAAAGTAGGCTCCCAATCATAAGTAATATCCTGCTGTATAAACCTACCTTTTGGATCTTGTAGCTTCACAAATCTTGGTAATGGTTTTGTAACATCCATTTCAATTAACATCCTTGCATACGATATTCTAGCTGATTCTGTTGTACACTCATCTGCATAAACAGGATTTCCCAAAACACTACCTATTTTACTTAGTGCCTTCATACTCCAACAATTGAGAGGTAAATTTGGGAATCTGATCCACAGGGGAATAGTTTTAAGTATTTCATCATGTAAACTAAAATCAGCAGACCATGCTTTCATGATTATTGGCCTGTTGTTCACAGTGTGAGGCCCAGAGTACAGAACTTGGTCTCTTTCTTCTACATTGCTAAACCTTATCACAAAATAATCATTATTGTGATAGTAGATCTGTGGTTTAGCTGTAAAATTACCTACTGAGCTCAGGAATCTTTCCATTGCTCCGATAGTAGGTGAATCTCCTATCACATACAGCACAATTGGAGAACTCCACTTCTCATTTTCCTGTTCTTGTTACACCCCGTGTTTTCGTACGTAAGAGTACATCATAAGTCAATTAATGGAAGCTCAGAAAGGGAATCATCTTTTAAAAGATCACAAAGTTAGTTCATCATGTTAACATGGAGGTTAAAAATATTTAAGATCATTAGTACCAAGTAGCAAGAGGGTTTGAAGGCTTAGAAGCTAAACGAATTGAAGAAAATAAGTTTCGTCGAAAGTCGACAAGTTGGAATGTTTTACCATGTACTTTTGAGGTGATACTAGGGTTATTAACATTATAAGGAGATTATATTATGAGTTATTTTAGTCGTACGATAGTTGGTGCTATGTTTTGAAGTCAAGCGAGTTGTGGAACAAAAGTTGGAAAAAGGTCATCACAAGTTCCATTCATAAATGTGCTGAAAATTAGGTCAAATGTAACTGAGTTTTTCTCCCAATATACTTGGAATTACGGGATGATCTACCTATCAAATTAAAGATCTATGAGTCTAGTTTCTAATTCAATAAACCGTTTGTTGATACGATATTGGAGTAGAGAGATATTTGCATTTTTGTAAGACAGCGCAGACTGGTAGGTGACAAGTAGGTGCATCACCTACTTGCCAAAAGGAGAGGTCTCAATTAAACCTCCTAAAGTAGGCCAAGAGGGGAAATTTAAAGGATTATAAACTAAATTATTTCACCCATCTTCCAGACTTTGAAAACCTAATTGAACCCCTGCAACTCCTCCCAAAAAATCCCACACAAACCCTAGGGTATTCCGGGTGTTACGACGCGATTCTAGTGCTGAAAAGTCCGGACAGCATGCTAGTTTCTCTTTCTCCTTCTTGTATCCGTGTTGAGGAAATTATTTTTGATGAAAAAGGACCAGATTTCGTGGTTGATACTCAGTACAAGGTAAGTCTATGCTTCTCCTTCCATTATCTATGCGTTTGCGAGTTGTAACTCGATCGTAAAGAATAGACCTAGCTAGTTTCGGAAGAATAGTATGTTGTTTGATCTTGTGCAATGGTTGGCTGGTTATGAACTTATTTTTAAGTTAAATTCATGGCTGGTTTATTGGATAAGAGGTGTAATGATGTACTTTTGGTTGTATTTCTCAATTTGAAAGAAAAGACAAGTCGAAACGTGTTTAAGTAAACCGAAAAATTATGTTTGAGTTGATGAACTTGTGGGACTGTTTTTGGGCTGTTTTGTGTTGGTATTGGGTTGTCTCTTTTACTACTGTTTTTATGGAGTTGAGAGGAGGAAGGGTGTGGAGAAACACCACATAATGGCAAGGTTGTTTGTTGGTTGTTCATCGTAACATTTTCGGATTGTTTGACACTATTATGGTTGTCGTGTTGTGTATGAAGTGATAGGGGTATGTTGGGCTGATTGTGATTGTTTTGACTAGTGTGAAGTCATATATATAGGGGAGGTGCTGTCCATTTTATTGTAAAATAGATTGTGGTCGATACATAATAGTTACGACGCTTAAACGATAACGAGAGTGTCATTTCTCTTATTGTAGACTAAGGAGCCATGAAATTGCATAGCTTGAGGTTGGGAAGAATATACAAGGTATGTTAAGGCACTTCCTTCGTTCTTTTGGCATGATCTAAAGTAACATGAACATAAACGGTACGCTAATTCATAATGGATCTACTCCTAGAAACTAAGGTTGTCCATGTTGTTCTTTCCCTATAAAGTTATTCTAAACAAGTGTGTATGATCCTTAAATCCTACTAAGGTTCATATTGATGGTAGGGATGTCCATAATGTTCTTATGTCACTCCAAAAGGTTTAGAACTTGATTCCATGAGTCGAGCATGCATTATATATATGTATCTATTTTACTCTACCGAGCCGCACTATAGTCGGCCGGGTACGACACCTATTGTGCAACCACTATTCAGTTGGGTTTACCGAGCTCCACGTTGCCGGGTATGATTCTACCGAGCCTTATGATGGCCGGGTACGTTTTTACCGAGTCCTCTTTGAGGCCGGTTACTATGATGATGATGATGCCCACAGAGGCAAATATTTTTAAAAGTTTATGTATATATATGTATTATGCATTTCATATTAGTAGCCCCCAGAGGCACTCAGATGTTACAGGTTGTATCTCCTCTACCTCTCTTTACATTAGTGTTCTTGTTTATGCTTTCCTGCCTTACATACTCAGTACTTTATTCGTACTGACGTCCCTTATGCCCGGGGACGCTGCGTTTCATGCCCGCAGGTCCCGATAGACAGGTTGACAGTCCTCCAAGTAGGCTATCAGCTCAGCGGAAGTGTTGGTGCACTCTACTTGCTCCGGAGTTGCCTATTTGGTCAGTATGCTTTGGATAGGTATTGATTGGTATGGCGGGGCCCTGTCCCGACCTTTATGATTTTATGTACTCTTAGAGGCTTGTAGACAGATGTCAGGTGTATGGATACTTGTGTCGCCTTGTCGGCCTATGTTTTGAGGTTACAAATGGTCATGTCGACCTTATAGGACCGTATGTCACATATATAAGTTTGTATATCATGTTGGGTCATCATATGTTGAGTATTCCCTTATGTTTTATTCTTGTTATCTCATGACGGGTTTTTTAGCTCATTTACCCATGATAGTATGATAAGAAAGATATGTTACATTGGTACTCGGTTGAGTAAGGCACCGGGTGCTCGTCGCGGCCCTTCTGTTTGGGTCGTGACAGTTCTACATCCTCAATGTCTAGTTTTACAATCTTCTCCCCATTTTGGATTATTGGGGCAATGAATTGCAGATTCATACCTTTTATCGCTAGCTTGTTGCCCCCTACCACATTTGCCCATGTTTGAGTCCTATTAACGTTCAATTTCTCCCCATTTTTCCCACTCGCTACAGTACCTGAGCTGCATGGTACTGTTCCATTGTTAATCAGCTTCTTCCCTTGAGTTTGAGCTTTCCCATTGTCAGATTCGCCACCTACAGCTTGCACAGCTACAGGTGTGACTTCAGCTTCCTTCAATTTGCCTTTGTTCCGGTTTAGATCTGCTTCCTCCTTGTTCAGCTCGTTCTGCATACTCCTCGGAGTATAGTTACCAGTTGGTTCTTCAATTCCTATCCCTTTTGGTGAAACAAACAATTCCAAAACACCGTTCCTAGTTTCAGTTGTTCGCTGATCATTGAATTGAGTCTTCGTCTGGTTTTTCTTAGGTCTGCCTCTCCCTCCTATGGCTTCCGAGCGCACGTTAGCTAGTCCACGTTAACATGCGCCGAGAGAGAAATGTTAGAGAGAGAAAATATGAGAAATTAGTCAAGTGTTTTTTTATAAATGTAGAATTATTATTTCAACTTAACATTAATGTGTAAGGTACTTAGAATTATATTAATTGATTCTTTCTCAAAAAAGAATACCTACCATAATTGAATTAAAGATACTTATAAAATATTTTTGTGATTTGGACGTCCAACAGGTTCTCAAAAGAGAACGTTTTTTGTTTAAATTTTAAAATATTTGGCTTTGATTATTTTATGGACTTTTTTAGTCTATTTTCTTTAATATAATATAGTGTAAGATACAAAATATTTATTTAGATACAAAATATTTATTTAATTAAGTCTTTCTTAAAAAAGAATTCCTACCATAACTAAACTATACACAAAATCTAAACGTCCAACAGGTTCTCAAAAGAGAACATTTTTTGTTTAAATTTTAAAATATTTGGCTTTGATTAATTAAAGAATGAAATTCAATTTACAAAAATTCTTGGACTACTACTTTCATTAAATATTTTTTCATTTATAATCCAAATTTTTTATGTTGTCTTAAAATTGCCTAGTGGCTTCATTTTAGCTTGCCACTTGGCTTAACCATATTGCAAACTACTCTTCTTTTAATATAATATAGATAAATACTCTGTTTGAGAATCGGAGAAAACCAAGGAAGTTTCTTGTTTTTTAACCGCACAAAATACAAATTAAATTTCAGAGCATGAAATAAATTCAACTTTTTTTTTTTAACAATATTTTGCCCCACTCAAACTAAAACAAAATAAATTATAAATTATAAACTACTTATGACAACAAATCAAAGAACTCTAAAATCCTATTGGCTAAAAGTCGTGGAGCCCCGTAATAAGTGCCACGTCATCTATACAGCTGAATGATCTGGAACTTTCTCCTACGCCCGCGAAATCTATTAAAACCAACTTCTTCTCTTCTCTCTCTCATGTCTCTCAATTTACTTCTGATAACTTGAAATTTGCTTAGGATTTCTGAAGGACAAAAAATTCGACCCGACAGATTATTTGGATCCGAACATGAAAACCCGAGGAATTTCAATAGCCATTGTTCTATGCGCATCACTTTTTGTTCTCAACATTGAATCCAAAACGCTTGATCCTTATAAGGTATGTTCCTATCATCTTGTTCTTTTTTTCCTTTTTTGGCTGAATTTATGTATTTATTTATCATATTGGCAAGAATTAGGCCCGAATTTAGTGGAATTGATATAGAGGATTTTGTGAGGTTTGCACAAATAGGAAGCTATTTAACTTTCGTCCCTATTTAAGTAAATTTTGCGAGGGTAGGTTGGCGGGGGGCATAACTTGCACCAGAGTTATGCTGGGCGAGCCATAAGTTGTTCAAAGTTATGACTGCTGGGCATAACTTTGAACGCAGCGCCCCGGCAAAAGTTATGCCCCTTTGGCAAAGTTTTTAGAAGTGGCAACGAAAATTAAACACCAGCCCTCAGAGTAACCTACTTTTGCAAAATTTGGAGGATTTTTAGCTAATTGATTGAAAATCCAGTGTAGGATTGAGGGTTAGTTAGATTAATTGAACATTGATAATTTTAGCTGTTGAATGGTTCTCCTTGTTGCTGGAGCTTGAAAATTCATGTTCTCTTTTTTTTCTTCCTTTTGAGGTCGCTGTAATTGGAGGTACTGTTGTTTTTTCATTAGTTCTAAACTATGGTGATTAAGTGTTCTTGGTGATTTACTTTTTTTTTATGTTGGTTTTATCTGAGTTTTATTAGAATTGCTCTTTGACTTTTTTGTCTGTATTGGATAATGTCTAATTAAGAAATTGTATTCTGAAACTTAAGAGATAGAGTAAACGGAAGATTTTCCTTTTAAGGAAAGGGGAGAAGGAGTGTATTATTGATTGGTTTTGGAATTATACCAGTTTTCTTTATGTTTCAAATTTTACTGATTAAAAAAGAACTTTAAAAAAGAAAGAAAAAGGAGATAGACCGGTTATGCTGAGATTCTGATGGATTGATTTTCATTGTTAACGCAGATTTTGTCACCCCCTTTGCCTATAAAACACAGAGACATGTATTGGTAGCACAAAGACAAACAAATGCAAAATTGAATCACATTACCACACAGACAACATAAAAAGTTAGGCAATGTCACTCGTACTTGAATCTGAAATGATCACTAAGTTGGTGCTCTTCAAAATTAACATTAAATGCAAAAGTGCTGCTCCCCTCATAGTTGTTGGGATTAAGTGAATATAGCCGAAATATTAGGCACGACTAAGGATTTATTTACTTGGCAGTTCTTAATGCTAGAATAGTTTCGTACTCCACGTGTTCTTTTTACAGTGATTACTTCACCTTCCATGTTTACCGTGAGGTTTGAATTTTTTTCAGGTGCTCGGAGTTGATAAAAATGCAAGTCAGCGTGAGATCCAGAAAGCTTTTCACAAGTATGCTATATACAGGCTTGCCTTTTTTCTATCATTAATCTATCTTTGTTCTCTGCTTTGCTGTTCTATCTTTAACTTGCTTCAGCATCCAGCAATCAACTTTCTCTTGGCCAATCTTTGTCATAACCGTATAAACTGTCATCCCGTCTAGATGTTTTACTGGAGGTTTCAGTGTGATTGATGTATCATGATAGGAATTAGCTTCCCTTGAGGATTTCTTGTGGTAATGAATATTTCTCAAGTACTTTTATTTGTGATTGGAACATTCACGTGTCTTAGGGTACTTTTAGTCTGGCCTTCAATTATAGTCATGTCTTACATGCTTCTGTGCTGAAACCCCACTTCTAACAAGCAGAATATCTCTAAATTACTGGAGCTCTGAATGATAATAGTAAAGCAGGACTCTTCACGACTTTAAGTTTGCAGCCTTTCTAGAGATCCAGAATCTTCAGCCTGCAATTACTGGATGTTTTCATCATTAAGCTAAGAACTTTGATTGGAAATTGGAAACCGGTTATATACTTGATTTCAGGGTTGTCAAAAGCAAAAAGTAAAGAGAAGTACCAAGGTCTGGTAGGCTTTAAATGGAAGCACAATTGAAATGAAAGGAAACCAAAAATATGGATGTAATTTAAGGGAAAAAAATATGAAGACAAATAATTATCTAAATATAAGAATTGAAGTAACTAACTAAACGAAGTATATAGAGTGAAAAATCGTAATTTCAAATTTAGCACCATTTTAAATTTCTGATTTAGATTTAAAGATTTAGTTTTAAGTTTTCATTAACTAGTTTTATTAGTGATAAATCTTCAATTTCTTATTCATTATTATTCTGTTAGTGATTAATGTATCACTTTGCCAACTATATATAATTTTTTAAAATGTTATCCTCTTAAGCAGAGGCCATTAGAAAGAAGGCTTATCCTTAGTTACTTGGTGCCTGCTCTAATCGGCCGAGTGAGCGAAGTGGAAGGTCAACCTGAGCTTCACTTAGCTTCGGGCGTTAAGCTTACCTCAAACGAGCCTTTAATAGCATTGATTGAGCATAGCTTGTTTTGCCCGTGAAAACAAATTACCCATATTGGTTATCTGATCTGAATGGTTTAACTACTTATTCTTGTTATTATCTTGGGATGGGACTATAAAATTTGAAAGGTAAAGGCACATTTTGACAACTTTCCCATAGCCTCTTCACTATCAGCACACCGTAGATTACTGGTATTTTCTTTAGATTAGAATCCTGCAATATGAAATATGCAAGTATGCTCATGGTTGATAAGATTCTCTGGTTTTCGAGATTAATCTTTGTCTGAAGTATCATACTTTTTCGAAGATCTGCTTGTCTTTATTTTGCTGATTTTTCGCTTGTGGGTCTTCTCTGCATTTTTCTGGCAATGTAATTTTCTGTCCTTCTAATCTTCCCCTCTATCTCCCTCCCTTTTCAGGCTATCACTTCAATACCATCCAGACAAAAACAAAAATAAGGGTGCACAAGAGAAATTTGCTGAGATTAATAACGGTATAGCAGCTTCTGATATCTATCTTCTTTTTCAGCACTCTCTACCAATTAAAAGGGGGAGGGAAAGAAAGAACGAAAGAAATTGTAGTTGACGAAATTAATAGGATCACTCTGTTATTTTCTTTAAGTTCTTGCTAAATTTATCACTCTAAGGTGGCATTGTTTTACTTTTCTTTTTGAAAGGTGCTTGGTAGGTTTTGATTTTAAATACTGCCTTGATTAAAGGTTAAAACCAATTAAAATGAGCTATCTTGATATGTGCAGCTAGTTATAGTATGCACTTCCTCTGGGTGTTTGCTTGTATTGCTGATCAATGTTATTAACTAGATGTATAATATGTCTATCAATTTTCAGCTTATGACATTCTGTCTGATGAGGAGAAGAGGAAGAACTATGACCTATACGGAGATGAGAAAGGAGCTCCTGGATTTGATGCTGGCGGTGCTGGAGATCATGGTGGATATACATACTTCACAAGTGGTGGACCAGGACAAAGTGGGTTTAACTTCCGTCCAGGTGGTATGGGTGGACAAGAAGGTGCAAGATCATTCTCTTTTTCCTTTGGTGGTCCTGGCAGCCAAAGATCTTTCGGATTTGGTTTAGATGATATATTTTCCAACATGTTTGGGGGTGATATGGGAAGTGGGAGTCAATTTGGGGGTTTTGGTGGCTTTGGTGGTTCGAGCAGGTCTCAGTCTAGAACCAGGAACTCTGCTAAGAGCATCCGCTCCATAAACTCGCAGATGTATAAGAAAGAAATATCTGATAAGGGAATGACTTGGCTGTTACTATCTCATACATCTACGTCAAGAGGTATCCAATATTATGAATCTGTCATTGGAGAAGTCGCAAGCTCACTGGAAGGGGCGATGAAGGTATGCGTTCTTTTGCTTGCATCATAATCCTTTTAGACATTACTGTATTTCCACTGATGTGTTTTTACTGTGACAGGTGGGAAGTATAAACTGTGAAACTGATGCATCCTTTTGCAAGGGCCTTGGTGTATATCCCCGCAATGCACCAAGATTGTTTGTGTATTCATTAAAATCAAGTGGAAGTGGTGCTTTGGTGGAGTACAGTGATGATTTAGATGTGAAGAGGGTGAAAAGTTTTTGCCAAGAACATCTTCCTAGATTCTCGAAGCGAGTAGACTTGGACCACCTTGATTTTGGTTCCCAGAGTATAGGAGGTTTACCTAAAGTGATGCTTCTCTCTACAAAGAAGGACACTCCGGTTATTTGGCGTGCTCTTAGTGGCTTGTATCGGGATCGTTTTGTCTTCTATGATGCACAGGTAGCGCCCCTTAACTTTGTTAAAAGCTCTGATTATATTTCTCTATATAAATAGTCAGAAATATTGTAACTTAAATTTGGGATATGCAACTTTTTTTTTCTTCCACTAATGCTTGTGTCTTGTTGAATAGGTTCGTGATGGTTCTGATCCTGCTGTCCAAAAGCTCGGAGTTAATGCTCTTCCTGCCATTGTTGGCTGGCTATCCAATGGGGAAAAGCATATAATAAAAACAGGAATTTCTGTAAAAGATCTTAAGTCTGCTATTCAAGATCTAAGTGGTTTACTGGATACCTGTGAAAAGAAAAACAAGGAGGCAGCTTCACAGAGTAAAAGAGAGCAGAGTGAACCAGAGGCTAAACAAGTACCACTAATTACAGGCTCTAATTTCAATGAAATTTGCGGGGAGAAAACTCCTGTGTGTGTGATTGGTGTTTTCAGGTCATCTAAAACAAGGGAGAAACTAGAAAAAGTTCTATTATCCGTAAGTAATCAACTGTATGGACTAGTTCAGTGATATATGATTCATATTTTCTCTGCTCTGATACATAATAAAACTGATTTAGCTGTTCTGTGACCCCACGTTGCTGTTTTCAGGTTTCTCAAAATTCATTATTAAGGCGTCAGAATGTAGCCTCTGGCTCAAGGGATTCAGTTACCTATGCTCTTCTGGATGGGGCAAAGCAGCAGTCTTTCTTGAATGCGTTTGATAGATCAGGATATAAATCATCAGATAAACTCTTGCTCGCCTACAAGCCGCGGAAGGGTAAGTTTGCAGTTTTTGAGGGGGAAGTTACTACTGAAGAAGCAGAGAGTTTCATTAGCTCCGTTCTCAGTGGGGACGTACAATTTTCCAACACGAGACAGAAACCTATAGCAAAGTAGAAAATAGCAACTAACTTTAGTGGTAATCAAAAATACTGAGATCTGGAGCGCATGTACAGTCAGTGCTTCGAGGAAGCTCCTTTATGTTTGATATTTAAGCCCTTTTGTCATGAGCTGGTCTCTACTGGAAAGAAGTTGGTTTTGCAGCAAGCTGATTAATTGTTGCCGGAGTGGGATTCTTTTTCTTTTGATAAAAATGCACATAATAGCAGCATATAACTTGCCGTACGTGTAGCTTGTGTGTTTTAGTACCATCTTTTTCATAGTCTAATTTCTGAAGTTTGTTGCAATTTCTCATGTATAATCTTATATCAGGCTAGTTAGACTTGTTACCTTGTCAAGGAATAAACTATCAATCATTTTCTGATTGTGGGTTAGCCATCAGGAGTAAAACATGTTTATACGAGTTCTTTGGACTTAAGCTCAAGAATCCATAGAGAAAGATGACAATTAAGGACGAAGGTCCGGTGCCTCAAGAATCCTTACTGTTTAACTTTATGCCCTATGCCGTGTAAAAGTGAAAATGACCATCCTCATTGATCGGTTATAATTTTAATAGAATACTATAATTCAAAGTTAATTTTTTTATATTTTATTTACCCGTTCTCCATTTTTTACTACTTTCATGTGTAAAAGGTCATATGACCAAAAAAAAAAAAAAAAAAAGAGAAAAAAAACCATCAACCTAAGGAGAAAGAAACTTGAAAACTTCTTAATGGAAAGGTCTCCTTTCCACTTAGTGCATCTCCAAAGAATTTCGGTATAATTTGTACGGAAATGATGTTGGGGTAGCACTCGATATTCTGATAGCAATCAATTTCTTAGATTAGTCGCAAAAATATTTTCCAGAATTTCACTTATTTCCGTAAAAACTGCGCCCCCATTTATCCTACATCCATATTTTTAAAATTATTTAATCTATACCCTAATTTTTACAACTTCAGGCGCCTCTTTCTTCTTGCTACCCGTGCGTTCCTTTCTTCTTCTTTTCTTTTCTATTCTTTATTCGACTCTCCATTTTTTGTAATTTGTAGTATATTTTACTGCTAATTTGCTCATAGTGATTGCATTTTTGTTGAAACGACGTTTTAGAACTTTTCTTCATCTATTTATAATTTATTGTCAGTATTTTTTATATTTGCAATAAATTCAGATTGATCAAGGAATGAAATATGTAACAGCAAGCTGATTGCGGCTTTATTGGTGCAATTCTTACACTAAGCTTTGAAAGTTAAACTATTATGACACTCTTGATTTAAAATTTTTATTTACAAAGATGGCCTATCTTGTGTTTCTTCCAATGCCGATTAGGATGTCCTGTTTCTCCAATGATTTCTGTTAATAAGGTGTTTAATTAGTTTGTCAGCAAAGTGTTGTTGAGCTCAGATAACATGCTTTGTACCCAACCAGAAAGATCAGAAGGATTTTTATGGACTGTATCAGTAGAAAGATGAGAAATTCCATCTTCAATACAAAACAAACTTCAACCCTGAAGTTCATCACAAACATAACAAAGCTAAGCTAAAACATGCTGAAGTTCAGCATATATAAAATAAATTTTTAGCTAAAACATGCTGAATCAGTAAACAGAGAACAAAACTTCAGCTATTAGAATGCTTAAGTTCAGCAATTACAAACAAAAACTTCAGCCAACACTAAGTTTACGCGAAAAACTTCAGCTAAAACATGCAAAAGTTCAGCAAATAGAGAACAAAACTTCAGCTAGTAGAATGCTTAAGTTCAGCAATTACAAACAAAAACTTTAGCCAACACTAAGTTTACACGAAAAACTTCAGCTAAAACATGCTGAAGTTCAGCAAATAGAGAACAAAACTTCAGCTAGTAGAATGCTTAAGTTCATCAGTTACAAACAACTTCAGGCCCGTCTACTAGGATGCTGAAGTTTGCGTGATTGCCTTTGCTACTTCAAGCCCGTATGCCTGAAGTTTACGCGAAAAGTGGGTAAGGTACGCTTGCAATTTTTTTTGCAAAGCGGGTATAAGTTAAAACGTAACCCAAAAAGCAGGTATAGATGCAAATCCTCCCTTATTTCTTTACCACTCTCATCATTTTTGCGTGCAGGGGCGGCCATACCATAAATCACGCAAAGCAATTGCTTTAGGCCCCACATTTAAAATAGGTTATGTATAAGTCTAAAAAAAGGTTCCGTGAAGTGAAAAAGTTTGATTTCTTTCTTTAACAAGTATAGAGTTGCAGCTGTTATATATGATTTCTACCAAGAAAATTGCACTTGAAATGAATATCGAACCCGAATTTTATAGGAAACGTATGATATATAGGAAGTAACAATTTGATGAGAATATTGATAATAAAATCTCAAAATCTTTCGAAAAGTCCTTTGGGGCTAATTACTTTATACGTAATAGACAAGGCTATTTTTTTCACTTCAAAATAGATTTGAACAATTCGAAGCATATGAAAATATTTTTGATTTTCTATTTAGTGGTAAAAATTAAAATTATTAGATGAAAATTTGAAAAAAATATTGTCTTAATCTTGAATATTCCTTAAAGCATAATAATCAATTCGATATTGATGATTTAGATTTATTTTCGGAATTAAAAATATTAAGAAAAATAGTATAATTAGAAGTAACAGTTTAATTGATATATTCAGTGAAATAAAAAAATTTGATTCTTTTTCCAATGCTTATATTACTTATGGAATAATTAATAACTCTTGTTTCTGTCTTTTTAACAGAAAGAAATTTCAAAATTAAAATTGATAAAATCTCACCTAAGATCAACAATGTCTCAATAAAGATTAAATGGATTAGTTATATTGTCAATTAAGGCTTATTATGAGTTATTGATTATAAGAAAATTATTAATAACTTTGTATCTAAGAAACAGTAGAAAAATAGACTTCAAATAAATAAATAATTTTTTTAAAAAAAAAATAAATGTTAAGGCCCTCATAAAATTTGACTTCCACAAAACTCGTCGGACCACCCCTGTTTACGTGTAACTATGTATCAACTTTTCTAATAAATCTATCTAACATAACTCCAAATCATTACTATATATTTGAATCGAGAAGAATGGTGAAGAACTCTAAAACACTATTTCCTCCTTTAATGCAATAAAGTTAACCTTTTCATTACTTCTCAGTTCTCACGTAAAAATGCAATAGAGGTTGCTTAGCGTATTTTTAAGAGCACTTCAATAATTAGACTTCAATCAACGTGTTGGTAATGCGCGTCCTTCAATGTCATATTTTGTCTTGATAAAACAATCGTTTTTCTCATAAATTATGTTGGTATTAGGTTTAATATCTTCAAACAAAGATCACATCATAACCTATTTTTTTGCGCATGCAGCTGATCATAATACATTAACTATAAAACATCTGTTTTTTCTTATATGATCAAATCAAATTTTCTATTGCTTGTCAAGAACTTAATGTATAGATTATCCTTGCTAGTGCTGCTGAACGGGTAATTTTCTTTTCCCCCTTCTTTTTTCACATGGGTTCACTGATAGAGCTGTCCAACGGGAAGGGTCGGCCCGGCCCATTGCAGTCCCGTCACGTTTTGGCCCACTTAGTTCTAAACGTGATGGGCCCATATTCAACAGTACACGGGAAGGGACGAGCTGCCCATTTCGTCCCGTTTATCCCATCCCGTCATGTCCTGTCTGTCCCGCGTGAATTTTTTTTTTTTTTTTTTTTTGAAATAGAGCCTTTGGGCAACGGCAATGTTTGCAAATTTAGCCGTTCCAAACGGCTATAAACGGCCATAGTTGCCTCCCTCCCCTCCCAAATTTTTAACTTAACCCTAAGTTAATTAAATTACACTTTGGCTCTATTTTAAACTATAAATATCCCCTATCCTTCTTCATTTTTTCCCGCAAAAATCAATCATTCTTTCTCAAATCTCTTACATTTTATCTATATTATTCTCTCAAATTTCTCACAATCAACTATGTTTCAAGTTTTTGGGCAAATTTTCGGAGCAACTTTCAAGCTTCAAACTAATTCGTCAAGTATTTGGAGTAATTTGTTGGGTAATTTCTTCAAGTTTCAATATTTAATCACGATGCAACCATTCCATCTCCTATTTTTAATATTTAATTTTTGCGCATAATTTTAGTGCTTAATTTTTGTGTTTACTTTACGTGTTCTATTTTCGTATTTCATTTGTGTGTTTAATTTTTGTGTTAACTTTTCTAATTTAATTTCACGTTTAAATTATGGCTCCTAAAAGTGAATTTGGCATATTTTTAAAAAAAAGTAAAAAAAAATAGTAAAGGTGCTAGTGTTAGTAATCCTAATCCATCTCTTAGAAGTAGAAAACATATAGATGAAATGAATCATGTTGATGAAACTTCATTTTTTCAACCTCCCGCATGTTATAATATTAATTTGGAGAATAACTAGATCATAAAACTTTACAAAGACAATTTGGAAATGATATTTTTATTGAGGACGAAGAAAATGAGGAAGAAGAATTAGATGAAACACACACTAGTCCAGCAACACAAGTTCCAACTCAGAGTCAATCTCGGTCTGGAGCGTTATCCCCTGTACCTTCTGTAAGGGGTAAGCGTAAGGTTGAACGTACCAAAACATCACATGTATAGAATTTATAATCCTGCTTTTCAAGGTTTTCCTAAGACCACAGTTCAAACCGAATATCTTCGGTATATTTGTTGTATTTTTTCCCACTTAGATTGTAAAGTTTCTATCACATCTGATATAGGTCGTAGTCCTAATGGTTGTGATAATTTAACTGTTACATGTCATTGGGTTGATCATCACTGGAATATGCAAAACCGTATTATTGGTTATAAATTTGTTGATTCAAAACACACTAGAGCATATATTGCAACTACTGTTCTACAAATAGTTGATTTTTATGGGCTCATTGATAAAATTTTAACTATCACATTAGATAATACTTCTGCTAACACAACTGCAGCAATGTCACGACCCGGATTTCCCATCCTCAGGAGTCGTGATGGCGCCTACTAATAGGAGCTAGGCAAGCCAATTAATTTAACACTTCTCTCAACATCATTAACAGTATAAAGAAGAACGAGGCAATTAATATAAAAGCGGAAGTCTCGAAACATAAATAACAGAAACCAAGTGCGGGAATTCAAATACACCTCTACCAGATCTGGTGTCACTAACTCACGAACTTCTACTGAATGCTAAATACAAAGTCTGAATAAGAATACAGTACTGTCTGATCCGATACAAGGGAAATCAAACGAAAGACAGAGATAAGAGAGACTCCGGGCCATGCGGACGCCAGCAAGGCTACCTCGGAAATCTCCGGACTGAAGTAAGCTCCCAACGCTCCTACTGCTGACCAAAGGCTCCTGCTCCGGTACTATGATCTGTGCAAAAACAC